TAGTTCAAAAGTTGCACATTTTTGCTGTGCAACTTACTTCCAAAGAACCAGAAAGCCCTAGAAATGTAGGGCTTCCCTATACCCCTAGTTTTCTTCAGCCTCTTCAAAACAAGGAGTTAATATATCCTGCCAGAATAAATTTCTTTAAAAGACAAAGATCACACCAAAAGGAATAATGTTCATTGCCTTAATACTTCATTTCAAAACTCAATTAAAAAAAAAAAAACAAAATTTGTTACCCTCTTTTCATTTTTTTTTTTCAATTACCCCAGTTCTATTTTTTTTTCTTAGTTCATTTTTTTGTGCCTTGACTAATTTGGCACATCAACCCTATATCTTTAAGAAATTACAGCTAAATGAAAATTCTATTTTCCAGTATCTTTCTTATAGTTCTGAAGACAGAACTACTCAAAGTGGCAACCCAGTCCTGACTCTCTAGAGAACAGCACAATTATCTCTTTATAAATTCAGAAACATATCCTCATGTTTTTTCGCATTTAAACATTAGTTTTCAGAAACTGTAACTATTCTTGATTTAAACAGCAGAAAACAATGGTGAGGGGCAACAAGGAGGAAAAGAAGCCAGAAGCTACCAAAATTCTCCTACAGCAAACACCTTCCATCACCACCACCCCCTCCAATAGTTTCTCCTTCAAATGTCTTCTGGCTTCTCTTTCTGCTCCCAATTGTAGAGTTTTGTCTTACTCCACTCACTGGAGTACATTTTTCTTGGTAAATTAAAAAAAAACCCAAACAAAAAAAGCCCCACACAAAACACAAAGCCCAAACACACCACAACACAGTCTGCAGAAGAACTAAGGTATCAGACAAAAAGGTTCAATGCAGTATCGCTGCTTGATGACACAGAATGGAAACACTGAACCTAAGAGCTAAGAAGAAAGACTGATAGGCTGACTCAGCCAACCAGCAAACCACAAAAACAAAGTTGGGCTCTATACCTAGCACTTGCAACAACTAGGAATTTGGTTTACATTTTTGTAACAAAGCTTAAAAATCATAAGTATCCTGAAACACTGTCAGAGACTGCCAAAGGATCAGGGTCTCCTGTTTGGATGTGCTTACCAGGCAGAACAGCAGTGAGAACTGCAATATTAAGTCATTTTGGTGAACAGACAATTTATGCACTGTTACCACTCATCTACTGGGTGATCCCAGGGGAACAACCAGGTACGCTGAGCAGACAGGTGTCCATACCACAAGACTGCCATCCCAACTGGTCCCCAGTAGGGACCAAGCAAGTGCAGGAATAAACTGGTGCCCAAGAACGGCAGCTGGATTAGCGTGCTGACAAAGCCAAGCAGCTAGCACTGTGCGCGCTTCTCAACTCTGATATTAATTATTAGATGTTTTCAGGAAAACAAAAAAATACGTTGGGAAGAAAATTATGCAAGTGCAACTTGTTTGACTGAGCCAACTCAATCTTTTATGGTTTTATTATTTCTATCAGGTAAATAAAAAAAAAAACCAAACTGTTTACTAGCACAAACTAGTATTCATGTGGAGAAAACAGTATCATCAACTAATCAACATCCCACTAGTTTTCCACTCTGGCAAATAAAAAATAGCAAACTAGTCTTTGCATTTACTTCACCTGTTAATGTAATTAATGTATGAAAGGAATTATTTCCACTGAGAAAATGCACGTTTATGCATGAATGATTATTCTTTGGCTGCAGAAACCCCTTATTTTCCTTGCTCAAAGAATAAGACCAGCTTTAGACTACACTCTTAACGGCATATGAGAAACAATCTTGTTTTTAAAGAAGTTAAAAAAGGATTTCAGCATACTATTGAATTACTTCAAATACTTATTTTAAGCAAGATAGGCTTTACAGAAGAGACTGGCTTTCTTAACTGACAAAACCCCCATACAAAACCAGCAGCCTATGTTAGTTCACTCTTGCTTTAAAGTATCCTACGCCTCTTTACTAAAACTACATGCTTCTCCTAACGGTTTTAATTACAATGACTTGAGTTTTTCTTACACCAGTTTTTCTGCTTCTCTAATTTACACTGGCAGGAATGACTGAAGATAAAGATTTGTAACTTCTGGACTTCAATAGTAATAGTAACAATAAAAACCAGCCCAAGTTCTTCAACTTTCTTATACACTTACCAATGGAATTGTTGACTTTGTCCCCTTTTTTCTTCTTGTTTTTCTTGTTCTTGCCTTTTGGTTGAGGAGAATCTGCAAGTATTAGCTTATTATTTTGTTGCTGTTCACTTGGTGAAGGGGATTCACTTGTTATGGGTGCTTTCTCTTCCTTTACATGGTTCAACTGTTTTTTGTTGTTATTGTTCAATTTCTTCTCCTCTTTTTTAGGTTCTGCAAGTGTTGGGAGCTCTGCTGCTTTTGCTTTGGATTCTATTTGGTTTCTGGTTTTAGCTTGAATCTCAGATGCTTTGGGGGATTCAACAGGCTTTTTCACTTGTTCAGCACATGGTTTGTTTATTTGCTTTAGTTTCTGTTTGCTGTTTCCTTCTTTATGCTGATGCATAATATCAAGCAGAAAAGAGAGGGGCTCATGCTGCTTTACATTCCCCTCTTTCTGATAAAGCAGCTTTGAGTCTCTAGTGTTAACAGGATTGGAAAGTTCACAGCCTGTTTCTGAAACCGGCCTCTGATCTGTATGATTCGCGTGTCTTGACAGTGAACCAGAGGAGGTTTCTATCTTTTCTGACTGCTCAAGTGTACCATTCTGAATGTCTTCAGGTGCATTTGGGACAGATTCCTTCACTGCCTGGCAGTTTCGAGTAAGCATGTCCACCTTCTGACAGTCTTTACTCGTTCGTTCTTTCTTCTTTTTCTTTACAGCCCGCAACTGCTGAAGTTCTTGAAGGCGTTGTAATTCTTCTTTCAGCCTCTCTTCTTCTTCTTCCTCTCGGCGTCTCTGTTCCTCAAGCAACTCCCTCTCCCTGGCTTCTGCTTCAAGTCGAGCTTTTTCTTCAAGCTACAAAATACCAATAAGTTTATTGAAAGTGACAAATATTTTGGAACTTAGAGTTTTAGGGATTATTACAAGTTTTCTCTATGAACATTAAAAATCCTTGGATGTTAACATATGCACATACTTAATACAGAAGTCTGTGCAGCAAACAAATAACTATTTATACAAAAGCCACCCTTTAAAGTACACTAAAGTCCTTTCTATATTTCTATTTTCTATGTTTCTGTAATGTATTTGACTGCACTTAATACCAATTGTTGATCTTCTCTTCACTACTGCTAAGCTTAACTCCATATCAAAGTTTTCTACAACGACAGAAACCTGCTGAAAACAAAAACATTCAGCTTCATTCTCAACCACTGCGTGTATTGCTAAGGTAGCTCAGGTATGCATCATGTTGCATCGTTTACCTGTTCTCTTGCTCTGGTAGCACAGTTGCTCTGTTGCAGTGTTTATGACCATTAGGAAGAGCAATAATTAAAAACATTTTACATCAAAATACTAAGCACATTAAAGCTACATTAGAAGTTGTCAAAGATAATAAGGATGTTTTCCTTATTGTTGTTTTCTGTTGTCAGCTGTAAGTTCGTTAACCACATGAAACAGACACAGGACTTTTTCCGGCCATTACTGCAAAATGCCTAAAACTTTGGTGTGCAGCATTGATCTTGCATCATTAGCAAAATGAAAGTTGTACACTGAGAACAATCATGTCCATTTATTTTCTTGTGCATTTGGAAGTGCCTGCATGAGATTACTTTTTCAGTCACAGAAAAGTCATGCAAAAAATCCTACAAGAATCTTCCACTTCTTATGCTCAAACTGCATTGCAAGAGCCAAGTGAATTTGGCATTCTGAATTTTGCAAAGTGTATTTTATTTATAAATAACTCGCTAAGCCCTCAAGTTGCTGAACAGTTCTACAACATGAATGTAAAGAATATAATTTGTGAACATCAGGTCTTCTAAATCCATGGAAGCATTTAAAGAATGCAGAATTAGTGCCAACAAGCAAATCCACAAATAAGAAATAGTTACAGTGCAGTCACACAATGTGCTTCAGAATTCAGAAACAGTCACCAACCAATCTCACTGCACCTTGAACTTTATACCTAAGGCTGATACTTGAATTGCACTAAGAAAAGCAAATTTCCTGCTTGTTCAACTTCAAAAAAAAGGTGTGTGTGTGCATATATACATATATATATATTTCCTCTAGTAACTCAGCAAATATTAAAAAAAAATATGTAATTTCACTGTTACACTTCAGAGTTTTTTAGAAACATTTTTGCCGATTTTCATTTGAAAGCAACCTGTGATTTTTACTTCCCTGCACCCGCTTAGCAGCTTGCCCCTTCACTCCGGCTTGGGACAGCCCTTCATGTCATCATGTGGCACAGCACTCAACCTCATTCCAACAGGGCAGCAAGGTGCCTAGTGGAATCATTCTAAAATATCAAATCTTGACTTTTTCACTCTCATAAAAGCACTGACCTTATGTTTCCTGGCTTCCTACAGGGCTACTTTATCATAACCATTATCCCAATAAAGAAACACTAGTTTTGTAACTTCCCCCACTTTTAAATGTCGATTCTACAAAACAAATTCTTAACGTTTCTGACACTTCGAAATAGCTTTCTAAAGTGTTGGAAATTACAATACAAAGCTGACTAGCAACAAAACACATGACAATGACACTGTGAGGAATCTTCCCAATCTACCATGTAATTCCTCAGGTAGCACCAGAACAGGTAAGCTAGCTGCATACATACAAACAGGCAGTGTACCACAAACGACACAGAAAATAATTACATCATCATTATAAAGTCAATATACAGTAGTATACTTACAGAGAATGCACAGATTCAAAAACATGATGTCTAGGACAAACATACTTTTATGGCTTACCTTTCTTTGCTTATGTCTGGCTCGCTTGGCTGCCCGAGAACTGCTTACTGGTTTGGTTTCAGAGCTGTTTATAAATTGTAATAAGTCTTCCACCTTTCGATGGTCAACAACACTTTCCCTTTCAGAGATCTGATCTGGTTTCTTCGGCTGTTCTTCTTTCCTTTTTGTTAGACGTAAACGAAGCTTTTCTCGCATCTCTGCATAATTCCTACTGGTTGGTGCAGCTGGAGGCTGAAGGACATGAGACAAAAATGTAGCAAGTAAAAGTAAAAATTTCACTGGCATAATACTTTTGAGATGTTGACATTTTAGAGACCTTCAAATAACTTGGAAGTTCCAAACATAAATAAATATCAAACTCATTGTTGTTTGTATGTGTACCTAAAGGTGTATTTTACATGCGACAAACCTGTCAGCCTTGGTGCTAGCTTGTGAAGAGTATTTTCCAACTGAAAAGATTCAGAGGAATGCACAAGTGAGAAGAGAAAGAAGTGCCTTTAAAAACAAGAAAGAATATTTCCATATTCTCTTGTGATTAGTATACCACATTTGAAAATTTGAAAGGAGCAGACATATACTGCTGTTTCCATTTTCTATGAAGTCTGTTTCAGAGTTTGGGCTACAGGGGCCTCTGCACTGGAACTGTGAAGGCTTCATTACCCTGCACTGAAGCGTGCCAGCATACCTCCAGCAGAGTCGCATCAATACCTTGTTAATACTGCTGCAAGTTCAATCCCTGCGTCATGTTTCATATCTGTATTCCCATCCACTGCTCCTGCCTCTCAACTCCTCATTCCTTGTCCTCTCCTGTTCCCTTACCTGCTCCCCTCCTGCACCAGATCTGGTGCCCAGCTATTTGGAGCTACATCAGTTCAACTCATTGAACCAGCAAGACAAAGCCTGTTATCTTAAAAATCCTGTAGCACTCTGCCACTTCAGCAAAAGCAATAACTTACTGTGCAATCAGATGATCTATCAAAGACAGATCAATCATAGACATGGTGGGAACAGTCAATGAGAAACAGGATCCCCTCCCTGTCCCTTCCAGCCACAAGGCAGGGGCTTTAAATTCACTTCAAGCTCTAAGATGAAACTGCATCTGATCAAATACATGGCCAATAAACTTGAGCTTTTACTTCAAACAAGAAAAAAAAATGCCCAAGACTCAAATTCTACTAGCTGATTATTAAAAACAGACTATATAGAGATCTACAAATGAGGCCAGCAGGAAAATGAAATTTTAAGTTAAAAAATTTGATGTGGCAACTTAACAGCTTTTAGCATTTCATTTGTGCAATGAAAAGATATGATTACAAGAATTCACTAGACATGTTACTGGTATGAAGTTGCCTTACAGATGCTTCAAACAAAGTGTTAAGTATTAAAACAAAGAACATAAGGGAAAAAAAATTGTATAAAACTGCATGCTTTAGAACTTCATAATTTTCAAAACACACTTTAACTACATATACAAATCAGTGCCCATCAAAATGCACCAGTAAAGAAAATTATAATATTGAAAACAGGGAAAACGCAGTTTGGGTTTTCCTTTGATAAAAGCATACTCTAAACTTGCACTGACTAAGTTCCAGCTAAGAATAGCTTCTTTTTTTCTTTTTCTTCCTTTTTTTAAAAATAAATTTGAAGTGAATACTTTGAAGATTGCTATTTTTACAGACAGAGAAATGGCTCATAAATTGCCATGAACATTTAAAAACCCAAACTCACTGCATTATTTATAATTACACTACTACAGATAAGTGCGTGAATTTTGTCAAGTTATTTAAATGGCTCAATGTCCCTGTGTGCAGTTTCAGTCAAACATGGTATCTATTATCCAAGTCAGTTGCTTCCTAAATCTTTTAGTCATTTTTATTGCTCTTGAATTGCTTTCAGCTGGAAAGGTTTGTTTCAATTCTTGATTTCAAAAAGGAAAATTACTTTCTAACCATGCTCCTTTTACTACTTCTCTTGAGTGAGCTCCAATGCCACCCCCTTAGTCGCAGTCTGATAAATCACATGCAATCAGTGATGAGTAAGTGACAAAAAAGCAAATAAAACCAATTTAAAATCCAACAACTTACTCCTCCATGGCCGAAGAACTCACAGTAACAGCAGTCACAGTATTTTCCTTCCTTCTGATTTGTGGATGTTGAGGTACTGGAGCTATGCTCTGAACAGCTGTCTTCATCTTGGCTTTCCTCTCCATCGTACTGTTGGTGATCATACGTGTTATTGTTCTCACAGCGATGGCCCTCGCAATCAGGATCACTATGTTAAATTAAGAGAAAGCTTATAAAAACTCTAGATTATAATAAATAAGATATCTGAAAAAAAAAGTTATATGTACATCTACCAGGAACAATGACTCTCAAACTGGGATATCAGCCACCAGTGATTCATCAAATCCTAGAGCCTTAATCCAGTAGCTTGCAAATAGAGATGCTCAAAACCAAGCAGCAAGATAGTGATTTATAAATACCTCCTTTAGTGAAAGCTCACTGAACAAGCAGCCTTAGAATGAGTTTCAGAACTGTTCCTCCTGGCTTTAAACAGGTGAAATGGTTTCAGAAGTAGTGATTTTAGATTTTTTAAATGGAATGGTTTTGAAACTGCTGCCCATCTTATCAGTTGTAGTCTGAAGAGAGCTGTGCAGTTGCAAAGTACTCAACTTATTTCTAAAATCCCCCGGTTTTAGACAGATTTTCAAGCTTGACTTAAATAAAATATTCAAGGTCAGCTAAAACCAAAATGTTCCTATTACCCTGTTTGCACCTTAATTTTCAAGGGGAAATACTAGCACGTCTCTTCAATAAGCAAGTATATAGCAGTTTTTTCCCTCCAGAGCTGCATAACTGTGCACCCAAGACATCTACTGCCCAGTTCTTCTAAAACTGATGTGATCTTGCTTCAAAAGTATTTAAAAAAAAATCTGCTCATCTAGCATTAGTATTTCTTTGTTCTTATGTTAGAAAGGTAAAAAAAGCCATAATCTGTTTTATCTGCAAAATACACGTGAATCTTCTTTGACTTCACTTGCCTTTCCCCACCCCTTGTAAGTTTTTCAAGAATTAGTGACTAGGACAGAATGAAAAATTGTTCAACTTCAGTACCCTAGTTAGGGAAAAGGCATGCAGAACTGCCGCACACAACAGGAGATACTGCCCATCAATGCAAACGTTGGGTCTAGCCAGCCCGAGTAGCCTTTGCATCACTGTTTCTTGCCTGTGCAGAGTCAGCATTGCAGCACCCAGCAGCACAGTGGGATAGCACGTGCTACGGGTAGCAGACACAATTCCATAAAAATCAAAGCTTCATTAGCTCTGTCGCCCAGTCATTGGAAGACTAGAGCATAAAGCAGTTTTTCCCATTACAGCACATCACTGAGTCGTATAGTCTGCAATAATTGGTTCAGGGTTCTCTCCCTGTTCATTCCTTAAGAACTGAAATTACTTTATCACGTTAGCACTTGGAGATAGTGATAAAAGTTGGATTTCTATTGCATTAAATAGCCTATATTCAATTCCCTCCCTGCACTAGGTAAGAAAGTTTCTTTACAAAACTGCAATAATTTCTTGAGCATGAAAGAACAGTTACTTATTTTGTGATATGATCAATAAAACCAGCTGATAACAGAACTAAGGGCATTTTTAGAAGCACTTCAGGTATGCTGTTATGACTGCTTAAATCTCACATCAACGTCTGCAAACCACTGCAGCAGCCAGGAGACTACATCCATAGCAACCGTGACCACAGCCCTACAGGCTACAGAGTACTTAGTGCAATGACTCAACTGCTTATCGGTCATGCCTGCACTCTTCAGACCCACCAAAGAGTTGGCACCATTGTCAGTCTGCCACAATACATAACACTACCAGACGACAGCTCCAAACTCCTCCCAACCTCCAAGTCCTCTGAAAACCCTTGGAAATCAGAACATCCTTCCACACTACAACCACCGTATAAATGGCAGGACTGACACCTAAGGAGCGTTAAGTGTGGTCAGAAAAACGTCTTACTATGTGGCAGGTTTCAAGACCACGTACAACCTTTTTATAGTTTGAGCTAAATCTGTCTACAGACTCCTTAAGTTTCT